GAAGAAGAAGACAAAGAAAAGGAAGAAGAAGGGAAACAGGAGGAGGATGAGAGGGAGGGAGGGAGGAAGAGGAAGGAGAGGAAGGAGAAGAAGAAAAGAAAGGGGAGGTGGAGGAGAGAGAGGAAGAGGAAGAAGAGGAAGGAGAAGAAGAGAAGGAGGAAGAGAAAAAGGAAGAAGAAAAGGAAGAAGAGGAGAAGGAGGAAGAGGAGGGGAGGAGGGGAAGAAGAAAAAGAAGAAGGAAAAGAGGAGGAGGAAGAGGGGAGAGAACAAGAAGAAGAAGAGGAAGAAGAGGAGGAAGAAGAGGAGGAAAAACAGAGGAGGAGGAGAAGGAGGGGACGAAGAGAAGGAGGAAGAGGAAGAAGAGGAGGAAAAACAGAGGAGGAGGAGGCGGGATGACCCGCTCCTTCCTTAGCCAGCCCCCCCCCCTCCGAAAGTCAGTGTTACTTCCTTAGTCCTCCTTCAGCCAGCCCTCCTTGAACAGAGAAAGCAAAGGTCTGGCCCGGAAGAAAGACCACTCAGAGTCCAGATCAGCGTAATATCCTTATTATTGTTTTCGTGCGCCTCCAAGTAGTTTCTGACTTATGGCGATCCTAAGGCGAACCTATCAAAGGGTTTTCTTGACATGTTTCTTCAGAGGGGGGTTGCCATTACCATCCTCTGAGGCTGAGAGAGAGTGGCTTGCCCAAGGTCACCCAGTGGGTTTCCATGACCAAGTAGGATTCGAACCCTGCTCTCCAGTGTCATAGCCCAACACTCAAACCACTAGGCCACACGGTCTCCTATATACACACATCTACAGAAAGACTAGCGAATTGCATCTGGATTGTATCAACAAGGGATTGAATTTAATTGATTTAAGGGGTGATTCACACTAGATTAATGTTAAACAGGAATGCCAAGAGAGAGAAAACAGATTAGGCTCAGCAAGTCCGGTTTGTCCTTGCCTTCCTCTGAGGCTGAGAGAGTGTGACTTGCCCAAGGTCACCCGGTGGGTTTCCAGTACTGGGAAGATATTGGAACCCAGATCTCCTGGATTCCTAGACCAAAGTCTACTTCCAGCTTGGCTCTTGAGAGGATAATAATAATAATAATAATAATAATAATAATAATAATAATTTCCTTGCAAGAGCCAAGCTGGATGTGGATTTGACTAAATCGGGAACTACGTTACAGATGCCACAGGTAACTTTTTAGGTGGTACAAATTTAATTTTCTGGAAGCAGCGACTAACCCTGAATTAGAGAGTTTTCCATCCACTGTAGCTCTGAGCCCACTATTGAGTCTTCCTTGGGAGGAGGAAAGCGAGATATTATAGACAAAGCCATGACTCCTAGCACAAAGATAAATTTTGGATGGCTATCAGCTTACAGAGGTTCAGAGCCAAGCCAAATCTGACACTTCCCTAAATAATACAGCCTAGTTTTGCCTTTGAAATCTCAGCCTCTTACAATTCCAATCCAGAAACCAGTTCAACTCTTTACTTATGATTAAAATCCTTTATAATCGGCGCTGAAAACTGACGCCCCTCTTTCTTCTTTTTCTTTCTAGGTCTGAAATTATTCTTGATCTGAAAGCTATATTCCTAGTGCGGCTAAAAAATATGGTGAATATGTTTTATATAGTTTCCTCCCCGGTTTTCTGTCCTAATAAATATAAATCCCTCTTTTAAAAGGGGCGCTTAAAACACTAACACTATTATTAATTAACTGAAAGAAAGAAAGAAAGAAAGAAAGAAAGAAAGAAAGAAAGAAAGAAAGAAAGAAAGAAAGAAATTGGCAGATTTCAGTCTCAAAGGTGTTACAAGATCGCTTCCCCTACTAATTTTATGGCCATATCTTTGAATACTATTATTCATTTTAAACCGCCCTGATTCCTTTTGTCAGAAAGGCGTTTATCTTAAAACAACAAAACCTCGGATTTCATTTTTGTAAACCGAGAAAGCGATTTAATAGCGCGAGAAAGCGTTACACTTTCCCCCCTTCCTTTTCCTCTCCAAGAACGTTTTGTTGTTGTTTTTTTTTGGCGAAATGAGACATTTCAGAGCCTGATGTTTATTTATTTTTAATAAAAAAAATTATTCTCAAATGAGCGATGGACTCTTGATCCACCTTGGAGGCTAAATAGGCTCTGATAAATCTCCGTGGGTGTTTCTGGCTATTTTAATGTTATGGGCGTTTTTGGAAACCTCAGTTGGAGGAAATTTGAGATATCACTCGCTCTCATTTTTACATATTCTAGCCTCAGTGATAGCAGGAGCATGAAAAGCTTAAATATAATTATTTTTTTCCCTCCTGTTTCCATTGAAGGAGGCTGTGCCTGGCCGTGAGTGCATACGTATCGTGTGAATGAATGAATGAATGAATGAATGAATACACGTTACCTCTGTTTCTGTGGACGAGCTCCAGTTTGCATTTCTGAATGGGAGTTTTTAAACGCGTGGACAGAAGCCGTAAAAAATAGACATGGAATATTTAGTTATAAGGGAATTTTAGACGTAAATCCAGCTTCCAGTAAGATGTAATCTATTAGTTTTTGTGTTGTATATTGACAATAAGAGGTTGAATCCAAAGATATAGCCGTGTTAGTCTGTAGAATCAGTACGTAGAGAGATCTTGTAGCACCTTTGAGACTCACTGAAAGAAAGAAATTGGAATCATGAGCTTTCGTAGACTTCAGTCTACTTCGGTCTACTTCCTCAGATGCATTGACAATAAGAGTATATTTATCCCTTAGTAAAGAGCCAGCATGGCGCAGTGGTTTGTGTGTTGGTCTACAACTCTGGAGACCAGGGTTCAAATCTCCGCTCAGCCACGAAACCCATCTTGGGCAAGTCACACTCTCTCAGCTTCAGGGGAAGGCAATGGCCAACCTCCTCTGAAGAAATTGTGCCAAGAAAACTCCATAGGTCGGAAACGACTTGAAGGCACACAACAACAACAACAACAACAACAGTCTTCCTAGGTACCATTGTGCTTACTTGGAAGAGTAAACCCAAATGCACCCGGAATCACTAGTTTCCCCATGGATAGGTCTGAGAGGGACTTGCATGTTACACCATAGCGTGCTCGTGCTTCCGCGTGACACGTGTAGCCCATTCAGACGTACCATGATGTAACTGCTGCTCTGGCTCCCCAGTGTCTGGGTAGAGAAACGTGTCCCTTACCCTGGTTGGGGTCCAGGTTGGGGTCCGTCCTGCTCCTTGGCTGTCTGCCTGTCTTTTTTTTTTTTTTTTTTACCCCCATGAGCAGGGTGACCAAGTGCCCTCCATTTCCAGGACCTGTCCTCCATTTCAACCTTCTGCCCAAGAGGAACTGCAAAAGGTCCTCCATTTTGAGCATGGCAAAAAAAAATATATGGTTTTATATTTATGTGAGTGTTTTGAGCTTTGTCTTTGGTCAGGTCCTCCTTTTTATTCCTGGAAGAGCCTCCCTTTGGATCATGGCTCAGAAGATCTTGATATTAAGTGTTTCGAGCTT